TATTAGTGAATATAAATATCACATGTATGATAATACTATTCTATTTTTGACAAAAAAACAAAATTCATAATCAATTGTAATTCACAAATTTATAGAAAATTCTAACACTAATTCTTTATTGTATCCACCTTTTATGCATAAAAAATCATTAAATTTTATTTTTATTCTTTTCTACGTAAGTTACGATTTTATTATTTTTAATCATTTCAACAATTAATATAATAAAAACACAATTTTTTCTTCTACTCATAAGGTAGGGTTTTATTATTTTTAATCATTACACTAATTAACACAATAAAATATCACTATATATATGTTATTTTTATTTTATTTCAAATTCGTTTGAATTATTTTGAAGATATAATAAGATTAGTAATGAAATACATAATATGAATTAAAATACAACATCTGAACCTAAAAAAATATTTTTAGATATAAATAAGATTAATAATAGATTATACAATATGAACAAAATACAATAATTGAAACTAAATATGAAAATATTTTAAGATATAATATAAGTTTAACTATAGAATGCCCAATATTAACAAAAATATAATATTTGAAACTAAAAAATGTAATTAAAATTATTGATCTACAAATAAAAATTACAAGAGTTTAAAATTAATTAAAAAATAAAATTATAAACACCCTAAATATATTTCATAAATAAAGTAAATATGAAATTTGCATAAAAGTATGATATAAACACCAATATTTTTGTCATTTTATATTCACTAATGAAAATGAGGCATTTCATGCCTCAGCATAAAATAAAAAAAATTACAATTAACTTTAAAATAGTTAAATAATTAAATATAAATTAGTTAAAAGGTAAAAAAAATAATTAAAAAATTTAGTTAAAAAGTAAAAGAGTAAAAAAATACACACAATAAAATAAGATACCCATTTATTAATATTATAGATTATAAATTAATTGTTTCAAAATTTAATTTTATGAAATACTTATAATTTAATATACTAATTTGAAAACTATCAACTTTTAATTACCGAATAGCTTCCAGCTAAGCTTCAAGCCTGCTTCTAACAAACATTTTTGACTTTGGTCGACACAAATATATATGTCGATTGAAAGAAGGTTAAACCTGTTTTTAATTTTTCTATTTATTTTTTTCAATCCTCTTTAATTTACATAATTTAAAATATATTTTTTAATTTATATATTTACTGTGATCATTTTAATTCCTATCTTTATTTTTTTTTATAAATATTTTGTCTTGTAAAATGTAATAAAACATTTCAATTTTATAAAAATAAAAAAATAATGTCTCAACAATAAATATTATAATAAAGATAAAAAATACACGAAATATCAAAAAAATTAATTTAAAATAATTTTAACAAAATAAATACAACATCAAATATGTAAAGTTAAATTAATACTTCTACTAAGTTAAGACAATGTTATAAAAAAAATTAATGATAAAAATCAAAATGATTAAAAATCTATAAATATAAAGATTAAAAAAATTATCTTAAATTATAAGAATTAAAAAGATAAATATAAAAATAAAGATATTTTAAATTATAAAAATTAAAAAATAAAATGATAGAAAAAAAATAATTTTTAACCTTTAGAAGAATAAACTTTCTGTGAAACGCAGTCAAAAAGTAGGAAATCAACCATTGACTAAAATCTGGTCAAATCGCAAAGGCAAGGCAGCAATAATAAGTCAAAGCGCGAGTTCCGAACTTCATGTCTTAATCAGGGTTTATGTTCTTAATCGTTGAAAATTCGATTTATTTAATAAAAATATTATATTTAAAATTTTAAAAATATCTATTTATTTAAAATATTAAATTTATATTTTATAAAAAATATGTTAAACTTAATAGATTATTCTATTTATCTATATGATATAATATAAAAAACAATATATGTATATGTATATATATATATTATTAATAATATAAATAAATAAATAAATTTGTAAATAAAAATATTAATATATTTAAATGTTTTACATTTCTTATTTTTACAAAATCAAAAAATAAAAATCTAACAACTGTATCTTTAGCTGCACTTTATTTTATTTTTAGGATTGATTATTTAAAATATTTTAAACAAGATATAGAAAATTTATATATTTTTTTTATATAATATCATTTTCTTTCATCACATGTTAGTTATTTTTATTTTAAATTCCAAAATTTAAAAATAATAAAATAAATTGTTTTTTTGTCACACAACTTAAAAGTTTGTATTTATATTTAAAATTAAATACATTAATTTATTTAATATTGTTGATGTAAAATAAAATTTTAAATTTAGACTAAACTTTTATTAAGGTCAGCTTAAAAAAACTATGATAAATAATAAATTAAACTTAAACTTTAATTTTATATATGTATATTCAAAGCTTTATTTAATTTTGTGTTAGAAGGATAATACTCCTCGATAATAAAAAAATAAAGTTTGATTTGTTTTATTTTCGTCCTACTTCAAAGTATGACAAAATTATTAAAGATAACTTAATTATTTTTTTATGAGTTTAATTACTTTTTCTATTTATATAATTTCACAAATTTTATAATTTATATATATATATATATTTATATATTATTTTTCTCTATTTTAATTTTTACCATCTTTATAGGGGACTAAAAGAAATAAAGTCTTTACAAAACTATAAAATCAAAGAAACCAAAAATAGGTTATATGAAGATTAAAATTTAATATTTTTAATTATAGTGATTAAAAGGTATATTTATGAAATTAAAAAAATAAAATGACAGTTAAATATTTAAAAAATTATATGTTTGATTTTTAATTTAATATAATAAAATATTTACTATTAACAATGCCATTTTTTTTCATTTTCATTAAAAATATTTTTAAATTTAAAAGTACACGTATAATGCAGAAACAATTTATCAATTCTTTTGACTGAGACTTTAAACTCAAATCTTAAAATACTTAATTATTTAAATAAATCAATCTATCCTAACATAAATTAATAAAGGTATAAAATGACTTCAGAATAACATGAATTTTTAATTATTTAAGTAAATATTTATTACGTGGCTCAAATTGATAAAGATAAAAAAAAAACATAGTATTTTAGTACATATAATATTGTATCATAATAAATATTTTTTTATATAATATTTTATAAATTATGATATATAAATAAACATTTAGTAGGAGCTAGTCAAGCCTCTTTCCATACTATGATATATACATATACGCTAGCATAAAAGAAAAAGAGTTTGAAAGAGTTTTTTTAGTTTCGAAGTTAGAATTTGAAATGTGAAGAAAAAAAAAAGAGTTTTTTTAGAATTTGTTTTCTAAATTATATATTTTAATTTACAACATAATAGTATATCGATAAAAGTTCTAAAATAACAACAATAAAATTAATACTCGATTCCACAAATAAAAACCATAAAATAACGAATGACATAATTTAAAAATTTACAGTAATCGATTTCCAACACTTATGCCTCAGCAAACTAATCTCATTAAGGAGTAAACGTGATTAAGAATAAATAAATTAATGACCTTGCTACAATATTTAAACACTAATAGCATAGTACCAATACGTATTATTATTATAACAGAGAGAAAGCTAATCTTGAAAATTCTGTGAAGAATATGCAGTTAAGTACTAAGAAACGAAGACGAAGACAGTTACTTAATTTATTATAAATAAAAAAATGTAAGATATATGATTGGTGTGAATAAAATAATGGAAGCAGGATTCTAATTCCAATGGTCATAAGAGGAAGGTATAGGTGAATGAAATCTGAGATGAGAAGAGAAAGAAACAAACGTGGTTAAACAGGTATAGATGAGACAGTCAATGATGGTTGTTGTTAATGTTGCATGTGGGGGACCTCAAGTCATGTAAGACTAGGTGCCCAGCATTTCAGATTCCACTTGTCTAATAATTATTCCAATAACCAGTATCTTTTAGGCCTCCAAGGTTACCCCCAAAGCCGATCACCTCATAAAATACTATATATCGCGGTGTCACGTTGAGACAGTGACACAGAAAGCAGCAACACAGAAACTAAAAGTTGGGTTCCACTTGGATTCTTGGCAGCGAGAGAATAATAGAATTATTCAGAAATCTCATAAGTCCAACTTGTGAACTCTTTTTCCACCCCTCATCTTTCACCAAAAAGTTTACCACCTCACTTTTTCATTGCATATTCCAGAATCCCCCTAACTATTTCCCCCATCAACTCACGCATACATACGCCAAACTTCTCTCTCTTTTCCCATTTCAACTTAACTCTCATTTATATTTATTTTTAAATTAAATCAAATCTTAATAATTATTATAAATAAACTCATATAACATAACATGTTATTATTACATCAAAACTCATTTCATTTTATACTCTAGTTTGATTTATTTAAATTCTTAAGATAAAAAATTTACACTATGAATCATTCATAAATAATGATTGGCACGTTTTTAAATTAATTATTGTAGGATTTAATAAATTTATTGTGTATAATCATTTATCATTATATAATTTGTACATATTACTATATAAATAAGATCAAAGAGTGTACCTGAGTTTTTAAGGATGTACGTGAGTTAATATTCGATTATGAAGTATCATAAAATAAAAAATAATATACAAATAAGAATATTTTTCTAATCTTTTCTATAAACACTTGTAAGGGAAAAATAAAAATAAAAATTAATTTTTTTCATAATTTAAAACTAACTTATTTATAAATTTTAGAAAAATATATGAGATAATTTTTATAAATCAATTTTAACTTATGAAAAAATAATATATTTTTTTTCTTCAAAAGTGCTGGAATAAATTTATCGAATAAAGTGTACACTATTTTTTTTACCAGTACATACCTATTTACCTATTATAAAAGTAAATTTACTATTTGTTTGTTTTAAAATTTGTAAAAAAAACTAGTGAAGGATCAAAGAGGTAGAAAAAATAAATTTGTTGAGAAAATGAAAACAAACATTAAATTAAAGTGGGTGATAGGCAATTAGTCTTCTCTATTTTTTCTCAGCTTGGCCCCGTGAGGTCGTTAGTTGTGTGCTGTGCCTGCCTTGTGAGTTGTGACTCGCTTTTACTCCCTCTTTCTCTCCGCTATAAATACAAATCCAAGTCGGCGGTAACAACTTTCGTCATTTTTCTTCTCTCGCTTCCTTTGCTTCGTTTCTGCATTCTCTAGAAACTTCTGCTCCTCATTTCTCTCTCGCAGCGCGCTTTCAGCTTCGTCTCAGCAGTTCCGAGCTCGCGAGTTCCCGTTGTGTTCACCAAGAGGCGTGGGATCCCTGCGAGTTGCGTCTTCGGAGTTTTTGGTGCTGGCGATGGCGGAGGAGAAGGACGAGGAGGGAGTTTTCGCGGCGAAGAAGATAACTATTGGAGTCTGCGTTATGGAAAAGAAGGTGAAATGTGGCTACGAGGTTCTTTCTCTTCTTTTATTTTTTTCACGCTGTATCCCGTCTATTTCTTCGCGTGCTGGTTCTGCTTTCTTCGTTAAAACAGAGAGACTCGCAACGTGTTGCGTGAACGTTTTAATTCAGTGTCTCTGTTTTGGATTGCAGGTTTTCTCAGCGCCTATGGAGCAGATTCTTCAGAGATTACAAGCGTTTGGTGAATTTGAGGTAGGCGAATACTGAATGTTCACTATTTTTTATTTTTTATTTTTTGCTTTTTACGTTCTGGTTATCTCGTCATTGATTTGGAATTTACTTGTTCGTGAATCTACTAGCACTGTTCATATTGTTGCTTTTATAATAGTAGCATAGTATAATATTATGTACTCGATGCTATTTTTTTTTTTTTTTTTTGTATTTTCTTGTTGACTTTTTAAATATTTTTTCTGTTATATTTTTGTTGTGTAGTAGCAGAGATGCTCGTCATGATTGTGCTTGTTGCATTTTTTCTCACCTGTACGTTGTTTTGTGTGCAGGTCGTACATTTTGGTGACAAGGTCATCCTCGAAGAACCAATTGAGAGGTATAGTTAATCGATACCAATCGGAACTTGTTTGGACTCTACATTTTTAAGAACTATATACTGGTTTATTTATTGTTATTTTAAAAGCCACATTTGTTTTATCAAGTATCTACTTAGTGTTTTATAATAGCTTTTGTTTTAAGTTCTTTTCATTGGCCAGTGGATTCAAATGGTATACTGTTCTCAAGTTCTATCAATGGACGGAAATTGGTTGTCATGTTTCAGGAGTCAGGACATTTTACAATTACATACACCCTGGCATGAAGTCTTGGTTGCTTTAAGCAAAAGAATTATCTAACTTTCATGTGAGCAGAAGTTTAAATTCCAAATTGAAGGATTTTTATATTGGTTGTTTATCATGACATTGGTAGTAACCATCTTAAGCTGATCTGAAAGAGCCTTAATAGTTTTTTCTGGATGAACGGAAAATAAGAGAGAATGGTAATGATGCTGAGAATCATTCCTTTGTTCTGCATGTTTACCTTAAGGAAGTACAGAGAATGGCATATGTATATTTGGCAGCAAACTGGAAGGGAAAGAAAAGGAAATGAAAAAGGATTATAGAAATTACCATTTAAATATTTAATGTGATTTTTCATTAAATTCATTTTCATCTGTTGATGGACAAATTTTAAAGTTCATATAATATAAATTCTTTGGAAACTTCACTTTCATTTTTGTTGTCTGCCCATTTTTGGAGGGAGTAAGAATTAAAACAAAAATACATTCCTAGGGAACACTTTATTCCCTCATCATACTGTTCTTCTATCATAATGCATCCAAACAAGGAAACAAACAGTTTTTTTCCCCATTATTTTCTAACCTGTTAGATGGATAATATTTTCATTTGGGATGTGTATGTTATGGCTGAAATATTTCTTGCTGTCTGCTTTTTATGCACTTAGAGTTGCACAGTTGGCATACTAAATTTAAATATTATGTCATTTCAGCTGGCCAGTGTGCGATTGTTTGATTGCTTTTCATTCCTCTGGATATCCCCTGGAAAAGGCTGAAGCATATGCTGCTTTAAGAAAGTAAGCTTGTTTATTTACCAACTATATTTGATCTGTATGTAATATAAATTTTATAAATCATCAAAACCCCAGTAGTCTATTCTTATCAAAATGTTGGATGATGCTACTGGAAGATGTTCTGGAAATATTATTGGGGCCATGTTCAATTACACCTAGGATGGGAAAATGATGATGTAGTATGAGGATAATTGTACACTAACTTCTGACACTCACCTTCTAAAAGAAACCAATCTAACAAATTTTGTATGAGTATTTCTTGGTATGTAAAAGGATTTTGGTACAGCAAGCCATGCAGATGAAAAGATGCTTTCAAGGTTTTGACAAGAATAAGGATATTTTATAAATTGTAACAGCGGACTGTTTATGCTATTCTCTGCTGTGTCTGGTTGCAGAGGACGTCCCTTTATTCAGTAGTGCCTCTTTGGCCACACATTTGTTATGACTGACTTATGAGATAGGATTTATTTTTTGGCTTCTTGTTTGTGCCTTGGTCATGCAATAAGTGAAATCCTATAGTCACGTGCAGTGTACTGGACTTCTTTGTAGCATTTTCTATTTTTGCTTCTGTTCCTTTCCATTTTCCCCTGCTCCTCTCTCTAGTGTGGTTTGTTAAAAGAAGTGTGAATGTTAGGCCTCTTGCAATTCCTGTAGTGCATGATAGGAGGAATAGGGAGGGTAGTAGGAGAGTAAAGACTTAAAACAGTGAGCATAATGTTAGGGACAGACTGAATATTGAGGCTGTAACAAGCTTATGTATGTGGCAAGGGTGGTGTAAAGTAAAGGAGTAACGGTTAGGAGCAAGCCATTATGGGAGTGGAGTGGGTAAGGGCATCAAGTGATTGATATATATCTCATAACTTCAGTTGTTATTTAGTTGACGCATAACCTTCCAGAGTGAGCAATGCGTGTTCTGAGATTAGGTTTTCTGTGTGGAGTGGCTAGTCCTTGTATTTTCATTTATCATAGTGGATTTTCTCTCTATTTTGTTTGTGAACATAGGCCTGCTATGTTCATTGAAATTCTTTGTATATTTCTCTTTTCCTGTTCTCTCTTCATGACTGGTTATAACATTGCTCTATATTTTTCCACTGGACAATGGTGATGTTCACTAAAATATGTTATGTACATGCATGGGAATAATTTCTTCAGTTCAAATTGTGTGTGTGTGTGTGTGTGTGTTTTTTACTGTGTTACTTTGTTAATTTTTTTATCATAGTTTTCTTTCAGTTATTGGATGAGAATGTTTATTGATCTAAAATATGTGCACTCTGATCCAGACCCTTTCTAGTAAATGAACTGGAGCCGCAACACCTTCTTCATGATCGAAGAAAAGTATACGAGGTAGAAGGGGGGTTCTATTTGCTTCTTTCTTTTGTCTATGTTCTAACTGCTGTGTTTTCAGATTTCATGATATTTCACATTTTTACATTAAGCTATCTCAGATTTCCGTTTAAGAAATAAGTATATTGAAGCTTTCATTTTGTTGAAGCATGGAATGCTTTGTAGTATACTACCTGCAGCAAGCTGATAACTCTGGCATCTGGTCCTCATTAAGCATGACTAATAGCATAATTGATTTTTTTCCTGAAACCATATGGTTTTTAATTTACTACATTTATGTTAGAGACACAAAGCCAATCTTGGATCTGGACCTGACAGCTTAAGAGATGAGATGAAATGGTAATAGAGCCTTTATGACAAGGGTGGGCTATGTTTGGATAGGTGAAAAAAGATGGGATGTAAAAGGTTTAAAAGGGAATATAATGTAATAAAGCCTCCATTTATTGTCTGAATATGTTATGATGGAATGGAATAAAATTCTCATTTCATCTCATTCCTCCCAAATTGGGAAAAATAAGACTGAAGCTAAACAATGGAAGGGGTTCAAATTAATTTCCATTATATTCAATCCTCATTTTACCAATCAAAACAATGGAACTTAATACCATTATATTTCATTCCCCTCTGCTCCATCCTCTTCCATCAATCCGAACATTATAATCTAATCCTTGCAACATTTGAATTTCAGCACAAGGTAAAATGGGCTTGTGCATAGTGCCTTTAGGAGATTGAACATTGCCAATAGACAAAACCTATTCTTGGCATTTTTACTGTTTATCAGAAATCTGATTATGTTATTTTAATGTAAAGCTAAATCTAGCCAAGAAAATTCTAGTTGGAGTTGGAGTTAGTTCAATTGTTGTTTTTGTTTTATTTTATCTTTTTGGGGGGAGGAGGCACACATTTGCTCCCCAATCATTTAGATATGTTGAAAATCTTGTATGTGTATGTATGGTTGGTGTGTTAATGATTGTTCGATTACAGCTAAATGCTTTTTGCTATTTCTTTTCTGTCATATAATGGTTTTAAATTTTAACTTTTAATAATGTTCAATTTTGGGGTTCAAGCATCTTAAGAAGTTTGGAATCTCTGTTCCAAGATATGCCCTTGTAAATAGGGAAGTACCTTACCAACAGCTGGATTACTTCATTGAGGAAGAAGATTTTGTTGAGGTTCATGGTATGCGTTTCTGGAAGCCATTTGTGGAGAAGCCTATTGATGGTGAGCCTATTTCTTGTATTTAAGACTGAAAATGTTATGTAATTCCCTGTTTCTTGCATGTCATGGTTGAAGGCAAGGTGTTGTGTGATCTAATAGTTTGCCTAGGAATGCAACTAGTTTATGCAATGGACATTGCACTGGATTTCTTTAGCATGATAATGATGGCATATGAATCTTTATAAAGCTTTTAGCATTATATGTCTGATGAATAGCTCTAAACACTATACTGGCATTTACCTATTAAGAAAATTCAGAAATTTGTGAGTTTTGCAGAGTGAAGTTATCTAACATACTTTTCCTTTTGTGCCATATATTAAATGATAGACGTTATACCTTCAAAGATGCTCTTATCATGCAATTGTTATTTGAATGTATGCGGAATGCTGACATGATTGCACAATTAACTATTGATTTGTTTGTAAAAAGTAATAAAGCTTTTGAGTTCTGATGATGACATCTATTTTTATTTTTTGTTTACTTGATATGTAACTATTTATATTTTTTCTTGGATGTGGTATAACCCTTCTTTTATTTTCTGAAGGTGATAATCATAGTATAATGATATACTATCCCAGTTCAGCTGGTGGAGGCATGAAGGAATTATTTAGGAAGGTAATCTTTAGGCTTGACATGACACTCTCCCTAATTAGGTGGGTGTATTGTAGTATCGTTAACATTAAATGATCTTTAGAGCACATGGCAAGATAAAAAAAGACAGCAATTACATGATCATTTGAGCTATCTTGTTTTTGCCTGCCTAATATGCAAATCAATGGTAAGTAAAAAAAAGAAGTAAATGGGTAGATATCTTTTTAGTTCTGTTGCTATCCACGGGGATTCCATTCTTCATTCATGTAATGTGATTTAATTTTCCTCTTTCCATATTACCCTGATTAATTTTTTAAAAAATTAGTTATTATCCTTGTTACATTTAATTTCCTTTAACCCCATGTTTAGAGTTTTAATGTATATTGTACATCCAGAGAAAATGACTGTCACCATTTTCATTTATTACAAATAAAACATTTCTTTTGTTTTTAGTGACTATTTTTTTGTAATCAAGTTATAAAAAATAAATAAACTGGTAAGAAGCTTTCAATATTGAATGATATAAATTCATGTGGCATATGAAATTAGATCAACTTCAATTTCATACCACGTTGATCATTATATTATATTAAACAATGCTGGCAGACTATTGATCGGGAATGACCATTACATTCCAAATCATTCCATTTCATTTGTATTCCTTCTGTGTTATCATCCATTTCTCAAAAGCAACATTGACCTTCTGGTATAGTTGGTGTTATCATTTCTGTCTTTTTCTGAGTTATGAATAAATATAATTAAGCAACTTGGTCTGTTTTGGGTATTTTATGATCTTAGGTTGGCAACAGGTCTAGTGAGTTCCATCCAGAGGTGAGAAGAGTGAGGCGTGAAGGCTCATATATTTATGAGGAGTTCATGCCAACTGGAGGGACAGATGTTAAGGTTGGTAGTGGGTTTATGTTGCTTTGTATTTGTTTTATTGTTCTTTATTTTTTCAATTATATATTTTGGATGCTTCTGACATATGTGATGTTTCTACACAGTTTTTCAAAAAACAAATGCTTTTTCACATTTTGACATATGGTTGTAGGTATATACAGTTGGCCCTGAATATGCTCATGCTGAGGCAAGGAAGTCTCCTGTGGTTGATGGTGTTGTGATGAGAAATCCTGATGGGAAGGAAGTAAGTAGCCTGTCAAGCATTATAGTCCCTTCTCCATATATTAGTATTTAGTTTCAGTTCTTATAGTCTACATTTTGTCCTTGCCACATTTTATCCTTGTATTTAAACATTACACATGCATGATTTTCCTAATAATTAGTGTCTATTTTTTTACTTGATCCCTCTCAGGTTTCTTAATTGTTTGTCAACAGAAAGTATCATTTTGTTCTCTAAGATGTTGATAACATCAATTGATTTCCTTTTTCTAATCACTAATGTGAATGTGTGTGTGCAAACTGCTATAAAAAACAATTATTAAACCTCAAAAGCTACAGTTATGTCTAAAATTTGTCAAACACACAAGTAAAAAGTAACTAAAGTATATATTTATCAATTCTACCAAGCACTCTAGTCACTCCTCATAAAGTTTGAATGGAATTCGTTATATTTTCAATTAAATTATTTTAAACAATTAATGATAGAGACTGTGGGGGGTGGTTCATGGAATGTTTTACTATTCCTAAAATATATTATATGATTGGCAAATTTGAATTAAGCTTTGGAAATTTGCAATAATTTATCATATTCCTAGGAATGCAATAATCCCATGTATTGGATAAAAAATTCGTGTAACTGATGTGTGTCTATTCATTCTTAGAACTTAAATGTAAAAAGACATCATTGACTATCCACATCACTAATGTCCCTAGTCCCTACCCTTCCACCCCCACCACTGTTACACCTCTGCAGCCACCACCATTTCATTAGCCCCACAACTGCCTAAATAACATTCCGTAGCCTAAACACTAATGTAGAATACAGAAAAAAAAACTTAAATAATTCTGACTAAAATTATAATATAATATTAATAAAAATAACGACTTAGTCACTTACTAAAGCTAATAACCCTATATAATAATTTGGTAAGGTGATGAAATAACACAATTGGCCTCTAGATCTAAATAAACTAAAATGACAGATATGATATGATTTTTAATCTTTAATTAATGCTTGTACGGCCTGCATTTGACATAGTTGAAATGAGAACCCTACAAAAGGGTTCTATAATTTTTTTTAACCCAATAGAGAGAATCTGAATGGAGAGTCTTGAATTTCAGAGAAATAGATTATAAGGTTTTGAGAATAGGAAAAAGTAATTGCATTTATTAACTGATAGGATACATCATGTATTTAGAGGAAGAGGTTACAGTGGTTCAGTTGCAACTGAATCCTACCTAACTGAGCCGGAGGCAATAGCTATGCCTATACAATACATTTGAGCTGAAAATAATGCTCTGCACACATATTGTGAGTACTCTAACAGGAAGTTATGGTTTTAGATATTGGATATATTTGTTTAACCTTTAGGCTTCCTTTCAAGAGCAGAACTATCTTTCTTATTTTCTTTTACTATTTCTTTAGTTTTTATTTAGAACTGCTTTTAAGTAACCGCTAGTATAAATCATTTTATAGAGTTGATAGCTTGGAGTGTTGGATATTCCTTGAAATAGTTTGTTGGCTATTCTGTCACAGGCTCACAGCTCTCTTCTGCTAACATGTCTCATTGCATGCATGTATTTCATTGCCTAAATTGTTTGCTTTTGTTGGTTTTAGTAAATTCTTCTTTAATTTTGTGAACATTCAATGGTTGTCTTAGTTATTGATTTTGGGTGGATTTGAGAAGAAACAAATATTTTAAATTCAAAAGCAAGCTGAAGTTGCTGGCTGGTGTGGAACAATAATTTGATTTTTCATGTTGAAAAATGTCCACAATTTCATTTGGCAGGTTAGGTATCCAGTGCTACTGACTCCTGCTGAGAAACAAATGTCAAGAGAAGTTTGCATTGCTTTCAGGCAAGCGGTATGTTTGTGAATGTGGCAACTTCAATACTGCATGTCATTAGAAGATGATGTATTTTTTTATTTTATTTTTTTTGGTTATGAGTGACTGTTTTTTGAAAATTTGTTGGAACTGGCTATCTGGCTCATAGTTTATAGTTAGATTAATTTGCATTATTCTGGACTGCTAGTAATCCTTGAGTTGTTGGGACTTTTCAAGTTTTGATGTTGGGTATTTCAGAATCAGAACTGCTATTGAATCCTGCCAATAGTTGCATTTCTGTTTCTTTTGTCACCTATATACCTGTGCTTCAATTGCATTAATGCTTAGTCTTTCACTTTATAGTTATTTTCCTTCTGATAGAAGTTTGCTCAGTAGTTTAAAAACATGCTCTAAATCTGTTTTTGGACAAGTAACCGTCTTGAGAGTCCTATCATTAAATATTTTGTTATCTTTTGTGAAATGATTTTGTTTTACAATTGTTCTATGTTTAATTGGAAATACTTTAGTTCCTTTTTCTTCTCCCAAGGGAAATGGTGGGTGTTCTATTTTTTCACTGTATATAACTTCTTAAGTCCTGGGATTATGTGGCTAACTATATTTTGGTAAGGGGCTGTGTAGTCAAAGGTGTACCTAAAAGGTGCTGCGGCGAGGTGTGTGCCACAGTCAGTGGTTGAGGAACTGCCCCTTCAAGTGTGTTGCATGGCTTTAGTACCTTTGGTGTATCTTTCTGATTTAGGGAAATGACATTTTCAGTTGCTAATTGATAAATGTAAAATACCCAAAAGTCTTGGGATGCAACTTGCTAACTTTGATGTTAAAAGGGGTGAAATAACAATGATGTTTAAATATTTACTAGTTGTCTCACGTCTGTCCTAGGGACTCTGAGCAGCTTAGTGTTTTGCAAAATTGAATATCTTAATATTTTAGTTTTACTGCACATGTTATGCTTGAGTAGTTAATTTACACGGTAAATATATGTAACTAGAAAATACCTTTTTTTTCCTAATATTGAGGCATTTGTAGAGCAATGCAAATGCCTTTTGGAACTGTTGGCTCAAGGCATTAAAATGCCCATCTTCTTTGGTCATTTTGATAAAGGGTTGCTCAATTGAAGTTTAAGAAAAGAAAATATTTTTAAGTTTGCTCCTTATTTTTCTACAATAGGTCATTCTTGTTACTTGCAGGTTTGTGGGTTTGATCTCTTGAGGTGCGAAGGCCGCTCCTATGTTTGTGATGTGAATGGATGGAGCTTTGTTAAAAACTCACACAAGTAATGTTTTGTGATTATATTGTTTTGGCTTTGTTACATGGTTCAGCTATTTACAACTCTCTTATTATATTTATATCTGAATAGTGGATTTTGTTTGGTCCTGTTCATAACATATATTTATGTGACAAAAGGATAATGAATGCTATTTGAAAATTGAAAAATATTTTATAAATGGTTAATTATAACTTTCTTAAATGAACCATATCACCTGATCCCATCCCATAACCCTTATTTGCAATAAATGACATTACGCATGTGCCTGGAATGCATATTGTGTCTGTGTCTGGTTAATATTGGGGTTAATATTGCAGAGAAGAGAAAAGTTACTAGTACACTTTCTAACAAACTCTTTTGAACATACTTTCTACTATTGACTAAAATTTATTGGAAAGTGCAAAATTTGGCAGGTCTCATTCCTCCTTTAATAACTCTCTTTCTTGATTTTGTAGTATCTAATAAATCTTAATCAATAGTAAAGTGTGTTATAGAAAGTGTGTGTTACTAGCACTCCTCTACAAAGAATTTTACATATCTTGATTTAGGGAAGCAATTCTGATATATCGTTAAACTTGAGGATGCTCAATGTCCCAATCATTGTGTGATATTTTTATGAAAAATAGTTTAATTAAAAGAATATGATAGTAACTGGACCAGAAATCTTAAGAGAGAACAACTGAAATTCTATTGATAGAACCCTAGACCCCAATCTGTCTGAGATCTAGAGAAGGAATGCATCAAGAATCACAGAGAAAAAAAGGTGAACGAAAGAATTCCCAGGATAATGGGGAGTCCTGCCCCCCTCTTACAACAGTTCCCAATCCACAAATACCCTCTCTCTCCTCACCCAGTCTATTTTTATTTATTTATTTTTATTGGTCAAGGTATCGTCTGGCTGAGAGCTGGAGATTAGTACAAAGTATGGAGATTTATTTAAGGGACTAACCTCTTCCAATAGATTCTTTTTATTTATTTCCCTACTAACCACTGATTGACAGCAATTATTAGTCAGTTGCTTTCAGTTTGGGGTTGCTCCCCTCTCTTTTCTTCTCCTATAAGAATACGTCTAGAGTATTAATCAACTTACCTAACATATATGACATAACACGATGAAATAAGAAAAATGAAACATTTAGTAAAATTAAATCCAAGAAAAATACATGTGAATAGGTATGTAGATGACTAGAATCCTTAAACAGCATCATAATATTTATATACCCTGTTCAAGAATCTCAAGGGCCCTATGATGCTGTTTACCAAAAAATAATTACATAAACAATGGATTTTTCTCTAGCCTGTGTATTTTCTTCAGTATTAGTTGCCTCTTCCTGTACTATATTTATTACATGCAGAAGAAATTTACTTTAATGAAACAATATCTTCTTGCCAATCTTATTTGTGATGAGGATTAGAAATTAGAAACTCAACATTTTGTTACTGTGAAATATAAAAGAAAAATATCACTCATTTATGTCAACTTTGCTAGTTGTTTGACATAAAATAATTTCTTCATATTTTCTGTTTTATGATGCATTGCTTGTTTCCCTTGGCATTTATCTTTTTGGTGAAATCTTCATCATTTCCCATTTGCTACTTGTGAAGGTATTATGATGATGCTGCTTGTGTACTGCGGAAGATGTTTTTAGATGCAAAAGCACCTCATCTTTCTTCAGCAATTCCACCAACTTTACCATGGAAAGTAAATGAACCAGTCCAACCTTCTGAGGGACTCACTCGTCAGGGTAGTGGTATTATTGGCACTTTTGGACAATCTGAGGAACTACGCTGTGTAATTGCTGTTATTCGTCAGTATGTTCTTTTCCTTTTTTTTAACTTTAGTTAAGCATCTTGTTCTTTGCTATTTACTCTTTTGTTTCGGCAGTGGTGATAGAACTCCCAAACAGAAGGTGAAGCTAAAAGTTACTGAGGAAAAGCTGCTAAACCTAATGATGAAATACAATGGAGGCAGACCTAGAGCTGAGGTAATATTATTTTTTAGTGCTTATGCAACATTTGTCAACTTTAATTGAGCTACTGAAAATTTTGTTCCTCTTTTGCTTGGATTAATGATCTTTTGTTTACAGACAAAACTCAAAAGTGCTGTTCAACTTCAAGATCTGTTAGATGCCACACGCATGCTAGTTCCTCGTACAAGGTATTTCACCCTGCATGAACTTTAATATGAATTACACGTTAGCATAACATGCTACTGAATTTCAATTCCACATCAGTCTTTAAACATCATCAATGTAGTTATATAACTTACCATTTCATTATTGAACTTGAACGAGTGCTTTGCGATTTTTGTTTGCAAGTAATTTTATGGGTTTTCTGATCATTGGTACATATTTATTATTTATGTTAAGCAAGGGTTTTGAATAACTATAGCTATATATATTTTGTAGACCAGATCGAGAAAGTGATAGTGAGGCTGAAGTTGAGCATGCTGAAAAGCTCCGTCAAGTTAAAGCTGTTCTCGAAGAGGTTTTTAATTTTCTTTACTTAGTTTATTATATGATAATAACAAGTTTGTATTTGTACTAATAACATGATGATAACTGAAATTTAAAATTTACATTTTTGTTGACTGGAGCTGTTTACTTGTACCTCCCTTCGGGTGGGTTTACTTTATGTCGATATTGACTGAACTTTCATTTCTATATTAAAAGTCATATACAACCCTACTACGTGAAAACCACCTTTGCCTCGAGACATTTTGGGGGTACCAACTCTTCTCAGGAAAAAACCTTTTGGAAACATTGTCACTAACTCTTCTGGAGAATGCACAAGGAAACATTATTTTCTTATGATGTTAAATATGGTATATTGCATATATAACTGTTGAGATTTGAGTGCGGACAGATTCAAAATCTTTGTGAAGGCCATGGAGAACGTACACCATCCACGTATTATCCAACTTGTTCATCATTTTCTTCAGGTCATAATCAAAAGGGTTTTGACTTCATCAATTGCAGACTGGGTTTTGCTCAAACAGGTGGGTAAATCATGGTTTGTCATTTGGAAAGTGGCCAAATTATGAATTGCATCATAAAGGCGCCAGATGTCATTTGAGTATAAGTCACTAGCTTTCTTCCAGATGTCATAACACGTCTGTAAGTACAAAAATAGACCATCAATTTGGGGACGATTGACTGCCATAAAAGAGCGACCAATTGTGCATCTGCTTTCTTCCATTGGTCACGATTTTGTTGATTAACATCTTCGGGACTCATTTCCAAGTGATCGGACAGTCCTTGGCCAAGGAACCATATCTCTACAGCCGCTTGCCACTGCATATAATTCCTTTTGGTGAGTTTGTCTGATGTAATGGAGGGACTTCCAAAGAAAACAAAGGAAACCGGGCCTCTATTAGAGGATTCCGCCATTTGGACACAGATAAACAGTAACAGCGGAGGCCAAAAAGGTTGGATGACCTTCTACAAGAGGGTGAAAGAGGCAAACGATCCTCGAAATAACAACAGGAGGCTGCGGTGAGTGCGGCAGACCAAGTCACCTCGCAAATGGAGGTCGGGAAGGTGGCGCATGATGCCCATATGCTAACGAGGCTGCAAGGAAAAAGACACGCATGATGGCACATAGGGGCTTTGTTTGTGTCACTGATTTCAGAGTCTGACAGATCAGCTCTGTCTGTTTCGGGACAACCATTTTGACCGCAACCCTTCTCAGAGAAGCTCTTGACTTTTATCAGGCCCAAGGATGTGGGCTCTAATACCAACTTGAGAATAAGGCTATGACCTAATTAGAATGCTTGAGGAAGAAGGTCCTCAACATCTTTATTTATATCGAATGATATGCAATATATTTAATTACATAATCCCTAAATTGTAGGGATGAAAATAAACAGATACAAGTCAGAAATATAATATTGGGAATACAGAACAGAAATAATGAAAATCTAATCAAATCTCAACAATAACCATTCATGAGATTTTACTTAACAACTTTAACTTCTGGGAGAGTTGGTTTTTGACATGCTGGTATTAGGGCTTCCTTGATGTAGTGATCAGAAGTTTGATTATTGTTGCTCACATTCTTCTAACTATTATCCATGCTTCAACTCCAATGGACTTATACTTGAAAAGCGGATTGAATATATCTATAAGCTAAACTTTTTGAAGGAAAGATGAAAACTCTGAATAGGCAAAATCTGAAAGGGATAGATGGAAACTATGAATAGGCTAAACATATTAAGGGGAAATAGGGAAACTAACAAAAAAAAATAGAAATGTAGGAAAAAAATGTCAAATATACAATGAGATATTTATCCATCCTAATAATATGAAAGATATTTACTACAATCTTGAAAAGCTAAATGAAAAAGAATACAATATCTTCTTCCATACCTGAAGTTTGTCTTCCATTGATCATGTGCAACTAACTTATGAATTATTATGTAGTATCAAATGTAAATTTCCTTGTTATGCTAAATCGATGATTGATTTGTACAAAACAAAGAAAGGAAAACCGAAGAGACAGCTTCCTGCTTGAGCTGAAAATCTGCAAATATTTGATTATTTGTCTTCATGATTTGGTCATGTGAAAAGACCAACCAAAGCTCCATTTAGAAGTGTTGATCAGATGGATAGGTGATAACCCAATAGTTAAAAGGTTGAGGAAGACCAAGAAAAAAGTGAAACAGTTTGAAAGGAGTGATAGTTTTTGATAGAACACAATGGTAGTTTTTGATCCATGTAGCTGACCCATCGTGTGTTTTTGCTGTGTCTTTATCTTAGATAAAAGAACACAGTTAGCACATAATTCAGAAACTTGTCTGATAGTTGAGTTGTGACAAGCCACCCATATTACTTGCAAAAGAGGAAGACAAAAGTCCTGCATGACTTTTAAAGCCTGAAAAACAGCAGCTTTGTATTTATTTATTTTTTCATAATATTTAATCATAAAGTACTGAGATGTTTCATGTACTTCTTTTGTTTTTATTTATTTATTTGATATTAGGGCGGGCATTTCTCTGGCATATATAGAAAGGTTCAACTAAAGCCACTAAAGTGGATCAAAGTGGCCAAAAGCAGTGGTGAAGGTGAAGAAGAGAGACCTGTTGAAGCTCTGATGGTTCTTAAATATGGTGGCGTTCTTACACATGCTGGCAGAAAGCAGGTTCAGATTGATAAACATATCAAAGAGTGTTCCTGCTTAGTTTGAGTTTGATTGTACTACTGTTGTTGTTGAGGGTAATTGCAAGATTCATATTTCTGATCCCTCTTTCCTGTTGTGTTAATAATTTTTTTCTTCTTTGTAGGCTGAAGAACTAGGAAGGTATTTCCGGAATAATATGTATCCAGGTAAATCAAAATATCAAATAGATTTTCAGTCAGCAATGTAATTCTGAAGTTCAAATTAAAAGGCACCAAGTCATGTTACAGCAGATATTTTTTGCCGGTGACTGCAGAAGTAGTATCAAATTCTATTTTGATATTTATGTATTTAGATAATTTCTGAGACTCTTCTTTCAAGTTTCAATTAGGCATGGCGATTGCCTAAATGTGTGCTTTAAGAGATTTAAAACTATCTATGGGTCTTTGCATGCTTGCTTAAGCTGCATTTTAGGTATAGAATTCTACTCTGTATTTTCTCTTGTTTATATTTTTCGTTATTGTATTAGTGACAGGTGTCACTGTCCCTTTCTTTTGGTTAGCTGTCACTCTCAGTCTCAGTTGGTTAGCTTTCTGTTAGTTAGCTTCTGCTGTACTCTAGTGTAGCTTCCTCTGTTCTCTTTAGCAACTATATAAATAGTTGCGTCTTCTCTTGTACATGTGGAAAATATTATCAATCGTACACCATATTCAATAAGGCCACAATTAAGGTAGGCTAGGGGGTGACAACAATTAAGGCGGATTTCCAACATTCCTCACAGACCAGGGCTAACGGCTTGGAGCATGACAAAAGCAGGTGGCCCAACAATAGATCTAGGATACGCTCTAGTACGATCTTAGAATTTAGACTTTGGACTTAATTCAACTCTATAAAATCGGTGAAAATTTCATAAGCTCTATTTAAGCTATATATCTAGTGAATGTGGGCCTAACCACCACTCTTAAGGTTGTAATTAAGGCAATTAGGCAACCCCCAAAGAGTTTGCAATTAAGGCAAACGGGGGGTGACCACAATTAAGGCAGCTTTTCAACAGAAATGTTTCTATGAATTTCAAATTGTTTTTCTGATTTTGACCAATTAGAAGAAAAAAAATCAAGGAAAGCCAGTACCCATTCAGGTTGTACGGTTTTGTGAATAAGTGTGTTCAATATCATACTGTCATGTTTAAAAAGCTGAAGTATAGGTGCTTCTCATGTTTTAGTCAGCATATGTTTCAAACATGATCTTTGATTCTTCTTGTAACATAGAAATGACAATGGATTGTACCATGTATGAAAGAAAAATTCAATTATTTAATGTTACAGGAGAAGGTACAGGGCTGCTTCGCCTCCATAGCACGTACCGTCATGATCTTAAGATATACAGCTCTGATGAGGGTCGTGTGCAGGTATCCTTCTAGAAAAGCACTATGGTTTTTATCTATTATTGTTGGGAGTACCTTCTTTAGTCTGTTTGCTAAAACTTTAGCAAGAATCTTGTACATGCTATTAACTAGAGAAATGGGTCTAAAATCTCCCAAATTAATCAATGGTCTTAAAAATTAAAATAGAGGTAAATTTTGTACTGTAATATTATTCTTCATTATTTAGTCTCCTAATATTTATTTTGTTGAATATATAAATCTATCATGTCCCTTTCTTTTAATATTAAAATTAAAAAAAAATCTTATATCATTTAAAACTTATTTTAAAGAATCTCAATGTTATTATTTATTAATTATTATTTTTAAAATTCAAACAAAGAATCTAAATCATCACATTTAATTTCTTCCTCGAATGAATGAAGAACCCATTATAAATATAAAGAAACAACTATCAAGAAGTCAAAAGAATAATTTATCCAAATAATCTAAAAGACAAATTGCGCTATTTTACTGTGTGATTCGTTATTTGCTACACTGAAGCATTCATGGTATGAGGTGCTGCGCAAATTTAATAATGTATAGAACATGGAATTTATAGTAAACGGAAATGGCAATAATACATAATCACATATAATACATTCCTTGAGATTCGGAAAGGGAAATGAGTTTTATTTTTTGCGTAATGGATCTTATTTTTCATTTAATGATTCCACATGCACAAGTATTTCCAAGTAGTTTTTTTAAGGGAAGATATAAATACTACTCCCTGGATCTCTCTCTCTTTTTGACTCAAGTCCCTTGATCTCTTATTATCTGTCACGATGAGATTTTAGTTTGTTTAAAATCTCTTATATGCATGTTAATGCACAATTTTTTAATTGAAACTGAAAATTAAAATTTCAAGTAAATTATGCTTAAAAATCATTTTATTATTTTATATTAAATAATTTATTCTTTATTAATATCATTTATTTTGAAATAATTTTAATTATTTAATTAATTAATAGTATTAAAAATTAAAATATAAAGGTGAATTTTGTCTTGTAATATTATTTTTTATTATTTGATCTCCTAATATTTATTTTGTTGAATATATGAATCTGCCATATCCCCTTTCTTTTAATACTAAAATTAAAAAAAAAATCTTATATCCTTTAAAACTTATCTTAAAGAATCTCAATATTACTATTTGCTAATTTTTTTTTTTTAGATTCAAAACAAGGAGCCTAAATCACCATAGTTAATTTCTTCCTCAGATGAAGAACTTATTGCAAGTAAAAATAAACAATTATCCAAGAAGTCAAAAGAGGGATCATCATCAAATAAAAAAGCTCATTCAAAGAGAAAGACATCTATACAAATTTTTGACAATTCCTCAAATGAAGAGCCAATTCTAATTAATTCAAAGTTTAAAGAAAAAACAAACCAAAGAAAAAACAATTCAACAAACTAACACCAAAAAAGAAAATTACCAAATATCTATCTAAATAGTGATATGTATTCATTTTGATCTACATTCACCTCAATTTCACTCTTACAAAATTAATTTTACGTAATGTTTATTTTTGTACATAATGTCAATACTTATTTTTAATGGTTTTTTTAATGTAGAAATCTGAACACAAATTTGTAATATAATCAATAAAAAAATAATATATAATAATTGTCATATATTTATTTTATATCTTTATATTCCAAAATAATAGTTATTATATTATAAAATTTTAATTTACATATATTAAAATATTATATATAAAAAATAGGAAATTTTAATAATTATATTTCTAATGATGTTTAAGTTAAATCTGAATAATAAAAATAAAAATAATAATAATAATAATAATAATAATTTACAAATGATTGTTAAATAAATGATACACATGTATATTAAATTATATTATGATAAAATAAATGTATAAATTTTGAGAAAATATTACTTAATTATCCTAAACTTTACTTTTTTTTAAATATTTATATAAATATATATAAAAGTATAAGGAGTACCAAAATCCATATACATAAAATAACTAGAAGGTTATATTACCCTTGATTAAAGCTAATTTGAAATTGTGTAATATTAAATTGTGTTGTAATCAGGGACTCTAAAAATAGATAACATTTTAGATACAAATAATAACCCAACACCATCTAATAGTCCATTGTTTCTAATAAAACAAACACATTATGATATACATAATCGGCACCCACTACCCAACTTAAAACATTTTAGAATTAACCAACAATTCTAGCATCTTCATGGGTTGTTGGCATCTTCATGGCTTTTTGTTTAAGTTGAAGGAGCATAACCTTTTTCATCAGGCACCGCACTTCTGTTGATTCAACCTCTTTGTGTAAGATAATTGTGCCTTCCATGTTGTAGTAGTCTTTTTGAGAGTGACCCATCAATTTCAGTCAAGCACTTCATTAAATGCATAGGCTAGGGTTAATTGACCATAAGTAGAAAGGGATCTGAAAATTGCTCTGTTTTACACTTAACCACTTCCAAGTTGTGAGGGTGATATCCTTTATCAATTTTTGCTGTACAAGCTGATTTTTCCTAAATACACATGCATTTCTCTAGTTCCAGATATTCCAGGCAATGACACACCATATGACCCTCCATTTTTGTGTTTTTTCTTTTGAATCAAGAACAATTGGGATAAAGTTGAGGTGCATTATTGGATCTTTTCTAGGAGATCTGTTGTTGTATTCAACTAGAGAAAGCACTCATTATATACAACATGTATAGTTTTACAGGTTATAAGGATATGGGAGATTATCTCAGGTTGAGCATGGCAGAAAGGATAAGAGTTGTCTTCCAATGCTTTGTTCATCCTCAAAAGGTTACTAGCAATAGGTAATGCATTATGGAGAAGTCTCCATAGAAAAATAGCAACCTTAGGAAGGATAGAAATATACCAGATTTGACTAAACTTTTCAATCTATGAGCAATCCACCCTCAATGTTTGTAACTCTTTATATGCTGAGCTGATCGAGAAGGTCCTTGACAAACCTGGGTGCCAATAACAAGTGTCTTGTCTTCCTTGTGTGCAGATTGACTCTTGAGAAAAGATGTTCAAGGTCTCTGAACTGGGGAAATTCCCAATCAAACCAAATTCTACGCCATTTGAGGCCCCAATTCCACATTGAGCCAACCCAACTACCCATTTTATGATCTATCGTATCATTTTGTTGTTCAGAGTTTAAGAATGCTCTAGGTAGATGTTTTGCAAGACAATCATCCCCTAACCACCTATTTAACCAAAATCTGATTTGGTCTCCTTGTCCTACTTTCTAGATGGTTGCTTTATCAAACCACTACACTTGATTGTCACCCCTACAGACCTTTTTGAGATCTCTCCACTAGATGGAAGATGATTTATATAATTATCTTGACTATTGAGACTATGTCGGCCCTTATACTTAGAGTCCAATACACTACACCACAGATCTTCCTTTTGGAAGTCCACCTCCATGTAGACAGTAGAGCCTTATTGAAAGTAGGAATGTCTTTAATTCCCAACCTACCACATTTACTAGGCCTGCATATCTTCTCCCAACTCACCCAAGAAACCTTTTGTTGCCCTTCTTCACATCCCCACAAGAACCTCCTTTGTGGAGTCACTATTTTCTTTACCACTACACGAGGAATCTTAAAAAATGATAAATAAAAAAAAAAGGAAATGGGAAAGTGGGCCACCTTGCCTTAGACTTTTTTGAGGTTTAAATTCTTGAGTAGGACTACCATTGACTAAAACAAAAATTGAGCTTGATTCTAAACATACTGAAATCCATGCAATCCACTTGTTACAAAACCCCAACCTGTGAAACATGTATTTCGAAAAAAATCCAATTGACAGAGTCATAGGCTTTTTTGTAGTCTACTTTAAAGAACAAACAACTTTTCCTTTTTTTTTTCCTCATCAAGGACCTTGTTAGCAACTACCACACTATGTAGGAGACTAGGAGGTTTCTTCCTTCTAGAAAAGCACTATGGTTTTTATCTATTATTGTTGGGAGTACCTTCTTTAGTCTGTTTGCTAAAACTTTAGCAAGAATCTTGTACATGCTATTAACTAGAGAAATGGGTCTAAAATCTCCCAAACACTATGGGTCATCAATCTTTGGGAATTAAAACAAAAATAAAACTCCTAATTTAAGTTTCATAACAGGTATGGCCTATGTTGCACAAACCTTCCTTCAATCAAAAGGAAGCCTGACTGCCTGAGTGATTTTGAAAATAGTTGCTCCCCTTTTTATTTAAATATTTATGTTTAATGTCGAGATTATGTTGCTAACCTGCATAATCTGTCTAAACTAGCATCATTATGAACTATTTTATGTTTGGTCTGTGTTAACAGATGTCTGCAGCCGCTTTTGCCAAAGGTCTTCTTGATCTTGAAGGGCAGCTAACACCAATCCTGGTTTGTTTATTTTATAAATTTTTCTGAAGAAAGTATTTTATCTTTTTTTTATATTTTATTTTATGTGTTGGATATGTTTGACTAAACGAATTATAATATTAGGTTTCACTTGTTAGTAAAGACTCCTCCATGTTGGATGGGCTTGACAATGCCAGTATTGAAATGGAAGAAGCCAAGGTGTGTAGTGTGTATGGTGATTTATGTTGTCCTTATTCTATATTGTAGGCATTACAATAATGATGAAAAGTTGAAAATGGGTTTTGTTTAATGTCAAAGACTTACTTTCCTAAAGGCTTGAACTGTTAGATGAAGGCTCATGAATGGTTTTATTTCTTAGACGCCCCTCATGCAATGGCCCTTTTGGCTTGTAGTTTTCATTAGAGATGAAACCATTCATGTGTGTTTGTCTAATAGCTTAAGCTTTTGGGATTGAGGAATGCTAGCAATACACAATAGCATACTCTTTTCAACACACTTGCAGCATAGATGATTTTGCTCTCTTCTGTGCCTCAGCATAATTCAAACCAGTTGTTTCCTCCTTTAGATTCAACTCATTTAGCTCAACGATAATGCTCTTCAGCGAGTTCTGTAGATTACCAAAATTTGATACTTTCCACTTTTTCAGTTGTTATTTGAGCAACTTCAATTTTTCTTTTAAAATGTAAGCACCCCAACTAGACACTCGTAAATTTCTCCATATATACTTGTTCAACAAATCTCTTAAAATTTTTATCATTAAACCAGCGGTCTAAAATTCGAAAAGATTTCAATCCTCAATGTTGTATGACATTCTTTAACAAGATAGGGCAATGGTTAGAAATATTTCTATCTATTTATTATTTGATAAATTAATCCTCAATCTAGGACTATTTGATAAATTAATTTTTAAACCTTTTATATTTAAAAATATTTATTTATTTTTATTTATTCAAGCCAAAAGGCCATCGGAATCATGTTCAGCAACCAAATACCAATAAAACAAAACGTCACATGAAATATCCATCTTCTACGTACTGTTGAGGGAAAAAGCAAAAGAAAATTAAGAAAAGTTATTGGATTTTTAGACTTAACTTTCCTTGAAGATATATATATACACTTGCACTCCGCGTGGAGGAGTATTGTATTGAACTCGTGCAACACAAGTTTTTCACCGGCAAGTTGGGCAAATTATTAAGGATATTATAAAAAATATTGAATGCTTTATTGTTTTATTTTTGTAAAACATCAATTAATTAATTTTGGACAATTTTTTTTACCAACTAAAACGTCCTATAAAATGGGAAGGGGAGGGGGAGGGAGTATACTATTTTATTTCTCTTTTGGTACCACTGGTACCTTTTTAATGAAAATTTTCTTAGCCGTTCAAAAAAAAAAAAAACTGCAATGTTGCCCCTCCTCCGTCAGCAACCCCAACATCCCTCCCTCTCACTTTCTTCGACTTTTCCTTGCTCAGGTTCTCTCCCATTGAGTTCATCTTCTTCTATTCCCTCCCACACCCTTCCAAACCAAGTGGTTCCAAATCTCAAAACCTCTCTCTCTCACACCCTCCACCACTTCCTCCCTCTAGCTGGCAGCGTCGTTTGGCCTTCCGATTCCCCAGCACCCTTCGTCCAATACACCCCCGGTGACGTTGTTTCCCTCGTGGTTGCAGAATCTGACGCTGACTTCGACCACTTAACAGATTACTCGCCTCATGAAGCTACACTGTCTCGTTCTTTGGTACACCACTTGGACTCATCCGATTCTCGTGCTTCTGTTGTCTCTCTTCAGATCACTCTCTTCCCAAACAAAGGCTTCAGCATAGGCGTCAGTGCCCACCATGGGGTCCTTGATGGAAAATCTTCAACCCTTTTCGTCAAGGCCTGGACTTCTCTATGCCAAGCCAACAATGAAAATGAAACACAAAAACCATCTTTGGTGCAGGGGTTGGAGCCTTTCTTTGACAGAACAGTCATCAAAAAACCAACGCATTTGGGAGATAACTACACAGAATACTTGACTAGCTTCTTCTCCAAACTCTTCCCTGGTGAAAACAGCAACCCTCGGTGCTTGAGGATTCTACCTTTCCTTCCCAGACTCAAGGGCACGGTTCGAGCCACGTTTGCTCTCACGCGAGGGGATTTGGAGAAGATAAAGAAAAGGGTCTTATCCAAGTGGGATGTAGTGGAAGAATCTGATTCAAAGCCACCTACTTTATCATCCTTTGTTCTCAGCTACGCTCATGCCCTAGTTTGCATGGCAAAAGCGATTCACGGGGTTGAAAGGGAGAAACACCAAATGATCTCAAACCTATTACCAAAAGAAAGCTAACATGATAAGCTATCACTCTTATGAAGACTTGAAATTCTAAAATGATCATATACTTAGCTAAAAATTTCAAAAAAATTGTAATAGATATAATCAACGCTAACAGCTAGACCTTTGTTCACTAAAATAGTCATATCGGAAGTTCTAGATCTCCATTGTACCTAATTTTGGTGCCCTTAAAAAATAACATTCTAAGACTACAACTTTTATGAAGATCATAAAATCCAACTCTATCAATATAATACTCTGTCAATATAATACTTGTACTGGCACAATAAAACTGCAGCTAAGACATTCCCTGCATGGATCAGCAAAAGAGCGCACCAAAGTCTAAAGCCCCAAAAATACCTTAAACCACTTCCAAACCATTATTTAAGTTTCTTCCTACAATCCTAAACCAAACAACTTACATATTTAGCACAGAGAACTTAGAAACTAAAATAAAATCCTCATACAACCTAACCCATAAAAATCAATATGTAAGCATCAAATTTAATAAATCATATAATAAGATTTAAAAGTAATAAAGGAAATATAAATTAATTCCAGTAAAGGTGGCAGTGCCTCCTAGTTAGGAATAATTTATAACTTCCAAATCATGTAATAAAAAAATATAAAAAATATTGAATGCTTTATTGTTTTATTTTTGTAAAACATCAATTAATTAATTTTGGACAATTTTTTTTACCAACTAAAACGTCCTATAAAATGGGAAGGGGAGGGGGAGGGAGTATACTATTTTATTTCTCTTTTGGTACCACTGGTACCTTTTTAATGAAAATTTTCTTAGCCGTTCAAAAAAAAAAAAAACTGCAATGTTGCCCCTCCTCCGTCAGCAACCCCAACATCCCTCCCTCTCACTTTCTTCGACTTTTCCTTGCTCAGGTTCTCTCTAAATAAATACAAAGGCTTCTCTAATAAGCTATTCTAACAAACACATTCTGCTATTGATTATAATTTATTGAAATTCGTAAAATTATGAACGACACATGTTAAATAAAGAATAGGACCTACATGATTTTGTGAGTACAAATGAATTTCAACTAATAGTAACAACTGTTAGAGAGTATCACATTTCTCTTGGGATTGTTGGTTCATGAAGATATCAAAGCTTGAGCTATTAGGAAGCCTATGACTAGTTTTATATATCTCTAACATGCCACCCTGCACTAGAGCCCTTGGGGTTGAAGCATGGAGAATGCATAGGCTCACTTGATCTTGTGCATAAATTTAATTTTGTATTATGAGGAATGAGGGCAACAAGGATTGAATTCATGAACCCTTGCTCAGTGATACCTGTTGATTGTGTTTTTCACAGCTCATGCATTGCAAGAAAGGTTCAGTAAGTTATAGAGGAACACTACTATGCTGTTCAATTTACTTATTTTCTTGGCTGAATATTCTGCAGGCTCGGCTAAATGAAATCATAACCTCTAGTTCAAAGACAATCCATAGCAATGGATCACCTGAATTTTCTTGGATGGTTGATGGTGCTGGATTGCCACCTAATGCGTCAGAATTGCTTCCCAAGTTGGTATGTTTTTGTAAATATAGCAATGCATCATTGTGTCTTTAACCTTTTCATGGCATGATTCAGTGGGGAAGCTAAAATGCCCTTTCTGAATAAATCTGGTTCTTTTGATGTTCTGCCTTATGAAGATTCTATATTTTAGACTTGTATTGTAGAACTCTACAATCTGTTGAGAGTAGCTTAAAATTTGTTTACAAGAACTTATTGGCGTATATTTTTGTAAAAAATAATATTCGTTGCCAAAATATGTTGATGGTGAGCTTGATTAGTGTCATATGAATTAAATCAATGGAATGATGGAATCCATTAGGATGGTGTTGTTTCTCTTGACTAAAGATGTGGGATTAGCGTTATGTTTTGTTCATTTGAAAACATAAATAGGTTGATAGGTTGAACTTTTATATTGTTAACTGCACGATAGTACTTATTAAGATATCTTCTAATCAAAGTGATGCAAAACTAAGACCCAACGGGGGCTCTAAAATGTGACCAAGACAATCTAACACAAAGCAAAGACTAAAGAATGAACATATCACAATCGTAGGGTTAGGTGATGGTCAAATGGGCAGAACCTTTTCCAGGTTTAATCTCTTTGAAAGTAAAAAAAATTAGAAACCCCCCTTAAGCAATCATGAGTTTGTCACTAAATATCATTTAATGTGATTCCATTTCCATGTATAAGAAACTGTTTTTATTTTTACTTGTTTTTAGTCATGTGTGTAAAAATTTTAAGGTTACAAATATGTCAGGGAAAAGTTGACCGAGTTTCAATTGTAAAATTTTGCTGAGTTTCAAAATTGGTATGGTAGGCTTGCTTTCCTTTTCAAATATCATGTTGAGGTTTTGTTTATCTTCAGGCTATCTATCTAAGGGGAACCCGTTTTATGTTGTTTGAGTCCATTAATCTTGACTGGATAGTGTTTTTGTCCCAAGTTATTGCTTCCTAATTCCTTCTTGGTTTTCTCTACTGATAGAACATGAAACTATTTGTGAAATGATTCTAAAACTATTTTTGTTTCTCAATTTCCCCTGCATATCTCATGAATAGGTAAGTTTGATTAAGAAGGTTACTGAACAAGTAAGACTGCTTGCCACGGATGAATATGAGAAACTTGCAGAAACGAGCTTATATGATGTAATTCCTCCTTATGACCAAGCAAAAGCACTTGGGAAGACAAATATTGATGTTGATAGCATAGCTGCTGGATTACCTTGTGGTAGTGAAGGGTTTCTATTAATGTATGCTCGGTGGAAAAAGCTTGAAAGGGACCTGTATAATGAACGGAAGGAGTAAGTGTTTACATTTTTTTTCCAGATTAATCTTGTTTGGTTTTATCCCATTTCCTTCTATATGTTAGGAAACAAAATGTTACTTCAAATGCCATTGACACATGGGAAAGGTTTTAGTCACATGATGGCTATCAGATTGGAATTTTTGAAATCTAGTTATTTGTGAAGTCAAAACTTGTTACAATCCTGTAGTTCGTACACGGACGTGGATGCTATGTGGATATTTCCTTGATTTGTAAATGAACTTATTTTTGAATATATGTATTATTAAATTATCTCATCCAAGTTTTTTTTTTTCTATGGCCATTGTGATACAATATGCTTTATTTTTCACATTGTAATTTGTATATTGTAGCTTCTTGAACATGTAAAAAAATGCCTATGGTTGTAAGAATATTTAACTCTCCTTTCCTTAATTAAAATGATTTTAATTTCTCTAGTTTTTTAAATTTGTTTTTCCAGTGGCAAGATCATTTACAAAACTATCACGAATTCCAAAGTTGCACATGTATAGCTGTTATGCTTGCCTTTTCTTGTTCTGTTTTTGCGTAATGTATTTGGCTGACACATTGATCCTGTGTTACTTGCACAGGCGCTTTGACATCACCCAAATTCCTGATGTCTATGATTCATGCAAGTAAGTTATTTATGTGCATAGGTTTTATAACTTAGTAGGACTTTTCCAGATCTACAATATTTGTGCAATACTGCTACCATGGAGATTGATTAAATACCTTGTGAGAATTTTCTCATTCCATGAATGAACTTGCCATAGAAGTTATTGTCATAATTGTCAATTTTCCCGAGCTTGTTTGTAGATTTCCAGGGGATGTTAGGTCAGTTTGTTTAAACTTAAAAAAAAAAGGCGATTATAAAAAAACACTTTTAAAAAGTAATTTTTTAAACAGATGGAAGTTGTTTCTTAAAATAAGCAGAAAATTACTTATTTTATTTTAAAAACTTTTTTTTTAAATAAGTTTAAACAAACGTGACTTTTATCTAATGTTGACTGATATGTTGAGTTTCCCATTACGGATTCATTAATGTTATCCCTTTATTTTTCCCTTCCCCCCTCACTCTCTTTGGATATTGTTTAATGTTTATACATCAGAAAACTAAGATTTCAGCTCATTTGGCCTAAATGTTGCCGAAATTTTGAATGAAGGAATGTGATTTTATGCTTTAAATTCTAAAGACGGAGCTTTCAAATTATCAAAGTTAAATTTTTAGTGTCACGTTGTTAGGAAGAAGTTACCAAGCAAAGCAGAGTAACTGGCAGAAAAAGGTACTTATAGGGATATATTAAGAGATCTCTCAGCCCGACTTCCACTGAACTGTTCTACTGGGCTAAGCTTGTGTGGATTTCTTTTTCTATTACCTTTGGGTTTTTCAACTATAAATTCTCAGCTTTGATTAATTATTAAATTCTTCAATGATTGTCTCTATTCTCTTAAACTTCGTTTCTTCTTTTTCCCTCTCTAATTTTACCCCACTATCTCTGTATCCCATCTATTCTCTGTCTATTATTTTCACCTGTCCCTCCATCCAGTTGTATGTGTCTCAAGAATATATGTAGGTATTTGAGTTGTGACTACTGAATAATCATTATTCATTACGCTTTGGGAGACCACTACAGCTACAATTGGTTGATAGGAATTTGCCTGTTGAGCTAGTAGCATCAACCAGACACTTCAAACTCTATTTAATATATCTGTCTATAATCTGCAACTTCAATTTGAAGAAAAAATTGGTAGTTCCATTTAAATTATGTAGCTTCTTTTATTCCTTTCGTTTGAGAAGTTAACATTTACTTTCACATTACAGATATGATCTCTTGCATAATGCACATCTTAATCTAGAGGGATTGGATGAGCTTTTTAAGGTTGCTCAGGTATGATAATTCTGTTAGGGAAAACCAGATTGCAAAGTCTGAGCTCTGCCTCACTCAGCAACCCTTATTCATAAAATTTTGAGTAGTGTTTTGGCTTTTTTGTTTTGAAAGAAGCTTTGGATGTTAAAAAACTAAATGAGTTAAGCATTCCACACCCACATATAATATTCCTCTATATCCATCAACTTGATCAATGAAATTCAGTCTTTTTGGTTCCCTAATTATCATGCTTTCTTATTTGCAGGCACTTGCAGATGGTGTAATTCCAAATGAATATGGAATTAATCCGAAGCAGAAGCTAAAGATTGGCTCAAAGGTAAAATCTTGGTGTAAGAAATCTTGCAAATTGATTTTCCTAACAAAATTTCAAAACGGTTTCCTTATAATAGATCTATAATAAGAATTTCTTCTTTGATAACATCATAACAGGTGACATAATTTGACTTATAACAAACATGGAAATTACTAGATGCCATGAAATGAGAATGGAGTCTGAATAGAATAAAACAGACAGTCTACAGTAACTTTTAAAATGGAACGGATTGTTTGATACTTGGAATATAGATAGAATCAAAGTCGTTCTAAATGATATTATATATTGATCATGGGGAAAAAAATAAGATCAACTTCTCTCGTTTACTTTTCCAGTTTAATTGTTTTTATAACAATAACAAAAAAATTGTCGTGGAAACAAAACTGATTGTTAGGCATGATACATTTAGTGACAAGTAAAAATTGTCAATTGTTATTTTGTATGAAAGCATATGAAAGCAAAGAGGTTTTGTTAAGAAAAAAGAAATTAAATCTCATTCCATGAATGGAATAACCATTCTCACCACTGTAGGAGGGAATGATGATAATTCCTGACTCTGTGACTCTATGCAGTGCAGTGCTTTTTTATGCTAACAAATATGAAAACGCCCATACTATGTAATAACATGGAATAAAATCACTATTCAGTGTACCAAACTTGATATAAGAGAAGTAAACAATGGACACTTGATTTAAATGATAAGTCTGAAACTGGATGTTAGGCTTTGGTTAAATCCAATTATAACTTTCTTGTTCAGTTTCTTGCAGTTGATATTGCTTGATGAACATGTAGTACTCTGATTAGATTCATTGTATCTAGCCACCTGAGTACATTGTTTTAATTTTTTTGGTTGTTTTGATTCAGATTGCACGTCGATTATTGGGCAAACTTTTAATTGATCTGAGGAACACCCGTGAGGAAGCCATTAGTGTTGCTGAGTTAAAGAGTAATCAAGATCACGATTCATCATCCATGAAAACTGAAAAGGAAGATACAGAGGCCAAGTCAAAACTTCTCAATAAGAATGACGAGATAAGGAAATCCAACAGTGATATATCAATGGATCAAGATGATGATGATGATAAAGAGACCAAATATCGTTTGGATCCAAAGTAAATATCATGTCTTTGTTTTAATTTGTACATTGTTACTTGCATTCTAATACTTTTTCATTGTACACCAACAGGTATGCAAATGTAAAAACACCAGAACGCCATGTGCGGACACGCCTATACTTCACATCAGTGAGTGCTTTGTTAGATTGTGTTGATAAACCTTGAACAGAAATTTACTTCTGAACCCCTCACATCCTGCTGTGTTTCTGTGATTTAAAAATATTTCCAATCTGGTTATTTGAATCACTGATAGGTTACTCATTAACTTCTTTTGAACATATTTAACCCCTCATCATGTTGTCTGGGGACTATTATTGGAGATTGAGAGTCATTTTTGGCAGACTTTGCCAAACTGGTTCTACAACTGGCTTGACTATTGGCTGATTCAAAACAAAAACAAAATAATGGAAGAGGAAGAAAAAAATAAATGTGATTTTTTATTTATTTTATATTATGGTGAAGCCAATTGTTGGCAGTAATCTTGATGATATTTTCTTCATCCTGTATTGTAATTTTAACATAACAAGAAAGAATAACAAAGTCTTGCGGCAAGTAGCTCGGTTTCCATTAAGGTCTTAGTGTTGGAGTTATGTGAATGGAGAAAATACGCTCTAGGAATGTTTTGTCCTTTTAAGTGGACCATCTGATTCAACTCAGACTACTCAAGCAAAATTTTTTGTTGACACTTGACATGTGCATGGAAATTATCTTAGTTTTATTTCCATACTTTTGTTTTAACCTATTATTTATGTTGACAGGAATCACATATCCATTCTCTCATGAATGTTCTTCGTTATTGTAATTTGGATGAATCTCTTCTAGAAGAAGAGAGCCTCGTTTGTTATAATGCTCTAGAGCGCCTCTATAGAACAAAGGAGCTTGACTATATGAGCTATATTGTCCTGAGGATGTTTGAAAGCACGGAGGTAGTTATTATGGCCCTTCCCAAGCAATATTTCTAATTTGTTGCTGCATGTCTGCAACAACCTAGTATTTTACCACTAGTTGGCTTTTTCAATTTGTTGTTGATAAAATAAATTGCGGTTCCTAAAAGCTCTATGTTAATTTCGTCACTTAAATTCTTAGTTTTGGTAGAAAAAAGTTTACTAGGAAGGGAAGCCATAACATTCTTACTTTCTGAGGTCAGGTTGTGAGGTTTACAGTGGTTTGATGTGTTGCTTCTGGTTATTTTAAGCCCTTTAGTAACTTGGATTGATGGCTGGATGGCTTGTACAGTTGTACCTCAAGGGTTAGGTTTAGATGATCAAGTGCCCATATTCTGTTTGGTGATCTCTGCCATTCAGTTCTCTTTAGGTGAACTCTGCTGTTTAATTCTCTTTAGGAAGTGATGAGTAAGTAGGATTAGGAGAGTCCACTACTTTTGGCGAGGCTGTTCAGAAGCCTATAGACTCTAACTAACTATGCCATCTGGCAGCAAAAGTTGTGAAAACTAACCAGACAGTTGTAGCTGACTGGGTTAACTAAATTGCAGCATAAGGCTGCGAGAACAGAGAAAGAGACCTATTCTCAGAACAGTTATGATATTTCGATAGGACATAATTATCTGGAGTTATGTAATGCGTAGTTTCTGTAGTCTGTGTTTCATTGATTTTTACTTTTGACTTTCAAAATGCAGGTGGCCTTGGAAGATCCAAAAAGGTTCCGTATAGAGCTGACCTTTAGCCGTGGTGCTGATTTATCCCCCTTGGAGGTAAACGATATTCAATTTATACTGTTTGCTAATGAGCAGTTTAGAAGAGGGGGTTAAATTCTATTTACCATATCTGGTGTATGGTATGAAAGTGCAATTCAATACCTATTAGGCATCAGCATATACGGTTTCAAGCTTCCTATTAAACTGGAAATTTCCAAGCTAATCCAGATAGCATCATTGTTCACCACTCCCTGTACATAGCACACTGCAATATGGGGCTTTAGTATTTACATTACTCATGTCATGCAAATTCCATTTATTGTTATGATAAAATTAAAATTTCCCGTCTTAACAACTTTTCACCTGGAGAACATCAGTAAATATTCTGATTTTAGGTATTGAATTCATTTTTCATTGGCTTATTCTGTTCGTTGTATGATTGACAGAAAAATGATAGTGAGGCCGCTTCATTGCACCAGGAGCACACACTACCTATTATGGGTCCTGAAAGGCTACAAGAAATAGGATCGTATCTCACATTGGAAAAAATGGAGATGATGATTCGTCCATTTGCAATGCCTGCAGAAGACTTTCCTCCACCGGCAACACCTGCGGGATTCTCTGGTTATTTCTCAAAAAGCGTACTTGAGCGTCTAGTAAATCTTTGGCCTTTCCATAAGCATGCTAATTCTAATGGGAAATAGTTAACTAGTTAAATACTTTCTCCCTCTGCTTTAATGTTCCAGCTTGATGTTTCTTAATGTACATGGTAAAATTCTGATACAACCAAAGCGAGCTTTGGGCTCCTTTTGAAATTTTTTTGAAGCAAACTTCTTCCAGCCAAAATGGCAAGTTATACAAAATAGCCAGTGGTTAAAGCCAGATTCTCGTCCAGCTCTTTCTATTATTATGCTTTGTTTAGGGTTTAGGTTTAATTATTTTTACCTTATTTAATAATACTCCTCCTAAAATATTATTTCTTTAATATATGATTTTTAAGTTGTAATACCTTTTGGACATTTATAGGAAGAACAGTTTTGGAAAGAATTTTATGGAATTAGTAAATGCAGTGAGCTAATTTTTTTTAATATGTAAAATCAGTTTAGTTTTATTTTTTTAATAATAGAGAACTGAGAATGTGGTATTCTTAGTAAAATAATAATAATAATAATAATAATAATAATAATAATAATAATAATAATAATAATATATGGTATTCAGCTTTTTTCACTATCATAAATGTCAAGCCGACAACGTCCATCAACTTTGCGTGTGCCTTTTTTCTAAATAGATGTGAAGGCGTTTAATGACAAAGTATATTTATGTTAATTAGTTTTCCATTTTATTTAATGGCGGTGCTGATAATCACAACTTTAAATAAATGAGGTTCAATCATGCAGTTATATAATTGAAATATGAGACCCACTGCATTAATCATTTTTGTCTTGTTAGCAATTAGTAATAAGTAATTGTACAAAATAACCGAACTTTGAATTCGTATTTTAGCCTATGTTTGTGTCGTTCTGTGCTATGCTTTACACTCCTACACTCCTTTGTGCACAACCATAGCCAAGGCCTGCAATCGCTTGCCTCTTTCGATGCTTGCAATTTGCACTTGTTTGCCTCCTTTTCGTGAAACTTACAAAACAACTACACCTAAAGAAAAAGTGAAGAGGAAGAGGGAAAAAGGTGTCACTGCTACCAGAAATTGTTCTAATAGTGGAACATCATAAACAACGATATGTATGGTGGTCAATGGTAATGGGAGGAGATGAAATTTCATGATACAATGTGAAAGTTGTACCTTAATTTAAGGGAGGTAAATAGTGGAGCATTGTAAACCATCTATTAAGGTAGTTCGTCTTAGTCTCATCATGAAAATATATGTAATGAAAAAGTAGGGGTAAAAAAGTGGATTGTGATTTATTGATCGGTTCGTTAGTTTGTCAAAAATTGATGGGGTAGATAGATAATTTAGTTTGCTAGTTCACCTAACCTACCTTACTCAGCCTTTTAATCTATAAGGCCAAAGTGACTTAACATGTCAGTCCACTTAATTAAATATTTTTTTTATTTTATAACCTAAGGTGTTGTCACTTTGTGTTGTGATATAATTCTATTATTGAAAGATTATTTTTTAAGGAAGTTATTAAAAGACTATTAATACTTGTGTTGTAGTTTTTAAGAATTATAATAATTTTGTATTATTAAAAGACTATTAGTAGTAATTTTGATTGAAAAAGAAAATATATTTAGTAATTTGTAATTTATTTTAGTGTTATAGTCTTGAAGTTGAAGAAAAAATTTATGTTATGAATTCTTTGATTAAATTTGTTAATTGTGATAAAAAAAAATAATTAAACTTGTCAATTTAAATAAATGATAGAATAAAAAAAATAATAATTTTGGCAGCAATCTTGTCAACTCGCTTATAAGTGGGGTGAACCAAGAATTTTAACCCATTTTCATCAAATAGGTTAGCTTGTTCCCGTCTTATTTTTGAAGGGATAATGGTGAGCAGGTTTAAATGGGTTTGACTAACTCGTTTGCCACCTTTAAATGAGAAGATAGTTTCTTATGTGAGAAACGAGAGAGACATATTTCAACTATTAGGTTATAATAAATAGTTCAAATTCAATTATTCTTTAAATACAATTTCTATATTCGAAATGGAAGTAGGGATGGATGTTATTCAGAGTGATCAATTTACCACTTTATGAAAAACATAATACAAAATGAGCACCTAAAAGAAGATGGTTGTTGAAATTTATTGTGGAAGCTCAATGTTCCTACAAAGGTGAAAACCTTCAGATGTTGTGTATGTCGAAATTGTCTCCCAACGAGACATAAGTTTCAATCATGTGAGATAGGGTGCCCGATATTTTCTTGTGTGAAAGCAACATTGAAAACGCCTTCCATTCTTTGATTGAGTGCACTTATATCTGGGCCACTACCCTCTAAGGTACTGTTTACGGTGGATAGCGTTTTATGGATCTTTTTTATTCGAACTAGCACTACAACGGTTTCAATTTAGGTATGTAATTTAAAAACAGAAAATGGAACAAACAATGGAATAGGAAGATTTAGTGATTACTTGTTTCTAAAGATTCTTCAATAATTAACAAGCAATAATTTCCAGACATATAAATACTAAGATGAACAGAATGGATAATTGAGATATTTGCAATACAAATCATGGTTCAACTTACATAACGTTCCAGAATTACAATGCTGAAGTAATCTAACTACGTGGGTTTAAAAAAGATAAACTAAGAAAACTACGTTAATTCTACTCTTAAAAAGTAAAGAAAAGTGGTCAAGAAATTGGTACCCAGCAGATGCGCAGGCAGAGAGTGCTTACAGAAATGTGAGTATGAAATTTCCGACCTTTGTGAAGGTGCGTAACATCTGTATTTATAGAGTCAATCAAGAACGGTTAATTTCATGCATGTACGCCACTAGGGGATAACTGCTATCCACTATGCTTGTTACGTGACTCTAAATTGTAACTCCCCATAACCGTTCGCCGCACGCTTCAACTTTACTCGATTCGACCCTTAATAACCACTTTAGTGTGCCTTAACTGTTAAGATCCCTTTAATAACAACTCTACAATTTTGAGTTACTATTACATTTCCGAGTTGCTATCGAGACCGCGTTCTAGCTTAACCCCTTAATGAACAATAGATAAATTTTCGAGCACTCCTTTGTTCAATTTAATTAATTCTATTCGAACACATTCACATGTGAACAAATAAGGCTCTCAATTTAATCTTGGTAGGTGTTTGACCTTTATCTTTTGTTTCGAGTAGTTTTCACACCCTTTTTCGAGTCACATGATTTTCGAGTAAGCCCAACAGGTACCAATTACCAAACTAGAATCAATTATGATGAATATGAAAAGTATGAAAGATCTTTTTTGTTGTTTTGCATAGATGGGACTTAAAGCAGGTTTTTGGCTTTGCCATGACACTTTGGAGTTTTTAGATTAGTAGAAACGAGAAAGTATGGGAAGCACAACAAGGAGTATAAATGCGACGACTATAATGACAGCAAAAGATTTTTTGGTTGCATGGCTTCAGGCTAGTCAAAAATAGGAACCTAGACATGTTGGTGTTGCTAAACAAAGAGTAGAGACAATCCTAATGAAAACCACCAAATATTAGATAACTGAAGTGCAATATTGATGCGAATTTATTCCTAAAAAAAGGATGTTTTAGTGTTGGAATTTGCCTAAGGGACCCTAAGGGGTCGTTCATCAAAGTGAGAACAAAGAGCTTTGATATGCTTCATGATTCTCATGAATGTTAAGCTATAGCTCTTTGTAGTGCAATCCAATGGTCAAAGAATATGAAGTTGAAAATGTCATATTTAAAGTGGATTGTCGACACATTAATTGCATATAGAAGATGCACGATGATGTTTCTTAGTTTGGGGAAGTGATACGTAAATGTAAGATGTTGTTGAATGATATTCTAAACTTTAAAGTTAGTTTCACAACTAAATCAGTAAATACTGCAAGTCCATAGATTGGCTAGGGATACAGATCTTAGGACTGGTCTTTATAATTACAACCACATACCTTATTGTATTCTTAAACAAATAGTCAATCAGATAAGTTACATATGTTGGTATAAGAAAACTTCTATATTCTATCACTTTTTAACAAAATCTTAAATTCATAAGTTTGTGCTTCATTCCTAGAAAATAGAATTAGTCATTTATGGGCCATTGGTTCAAATATATATATATACAGAGAGACAGAGAGAGTCGAGATTTGTTAACATCATTTATAAATTTAAATTCTTACATCAAATTTTATACTTTTAACATATTTTTATAATGTAAATTTAATTAATTTAATATAATTATACACAACATCATTTATATTCATAAATTTAACATTTTTTAATTTATGAATAAATTCATTTTATATTTTTCTCCTTAGAGTGCATTTAGAAAAACTATGAAAATTATATTATTTTAATAATCAATTGTATAAATAATTGATTTTATTAAAATCGATTATAATCAAAATAAAATTTTGTTTAAATATTTTTCTTTTTCTATAAATACTTATCCAAAAGTTTATTCAATCATATTTTAACTAAATGAATCAATTTTTTAAAGGATGCAATGCAAGTGAGATGAAAGAGTAAATATATGGCGGAAGTAGCGAGTAAAAAAGCATTTTAGGTAAAAGAATGAGTTGAAAGATAGAAGCAAGGTCAAGTCATTTCCAAAGATGGTCTATTGAGGCCACAGGGAACAGAAGATAACAACACCCTTTGACACGAATATACCCATCTTTTGACTGTTGCAATGCCCAAAACCTTAACCACTCATTTGCAGAGACACACTCATGAAACAAGTAAATAGTGAGAGAAAAACTACAATTCTAATAATACAATCCGCACCTAAATAACTTTAAACTATGAAACATCACACAGACATAATCCAGAAGCAACCCTATTAGTTTAAGTTTCACAACTTGAGGATCATCATCATCATTTGTTATGATGGAGGATAGTGGACAGCATTTATGCTCCTTCTTATATTTTTTACCCTTAACAGAAAAGGAGATACAAAGATTGAAGAGCTAAGCTTGGAGTAATGAAGTTCTATGTTTCTCAACTTTCCTCTGAAGCTCGTCCTGTTTGGCACCAACGACCCTGTCAACTTCCGTCCCTTTCTTCAACAACAGAAACGTGGGCATGGCCTGCACTCCATACTCCCGCGCCACATCCTATTCCACAAAACACAAAATTAAAACTTGATAACAAAATTAATTAATTGGAATCAATTAGAAAAGAGGGACTGAAAAATGAAAATCACAGGTAATTTGTCCACGTCGATTTTGACGAAGTCAACGTCAGTATACTTTTCGGACATCTGGCTAAACGCTGGGCTGATGAATCTGCAAGGACCGCACCACGTCGCCGTGAAATCAATCACAATCTGATTCAATTGAAGGAAAATAACGAGATTGAGATTGAAATCCAGTGCATAGAGAAAAAAAAAAAGGGGGCGAATTGAGATCTAGGGTTTTACGAGCTTAGGCGTTTCTTTGACAGAGTCGAAATGGAGCTGCCACCGTGGCGCGGAGTAGAAGGTCAACACGCGAGAACCCTCCGGCTCCGGCTCCAGCTCCGACGGATCGCCGCCGCCAAAAAAGGAAGACAAGTAATTACCCATAGCTGAATGAATGGTGATACCTCTTTCTTCTTCTATGCTCTGCTTCCTTACTATGCTTTCTTAAATATTCTATATTTCAACCATTATTCCTCTTCTATTTTACAATTTTAATATAAAGATTTTCATATTCATATTTAATTATAAATATTTATTTTTAATAAATATTTTTTTTAAATGTATAAATCGTATTATAATTAAA